GCTAAACGCATAAAATTCTCAAAACAAATTTTCCTGAATTATGATGGGGGGGGGCATAGATGACCCCTATAGGGAGCATCAGTACAGATCGGTAAAGTGTCCTGAAGGGTGAACATTAGTGTACAAACTTAGAATGTCAAAGGATACCATGAGTTTGTTCCCAAATCGGAGTTTTCAATAGATCAGGAAAACCGAAATGAGACAGGAAACACAAGTGGACCGTCCTGGGTATGGCGATAAACTACATCCGCGTGCAGGGTAAGACAATAAACTACATCCGCGTACGGGGTATGTCGATAAATTACATCCGCGTCCTGGGTATGACGATAAACTACACCCGCGTCCTGGGTATGATGATAAACTATATCCGCGTCCTGGGTATGACGATAAACTACATCCGCGTACCGGGTATGACGATAAACTACACCCGCGTCCTGGGTATGATGATAAACTATATCCGCGTCCTGGGTATGACGATAAACTACATCCGCGTACCGGGTATGACGATAAACTACACCCGCGTCCTGGGTATGATGATAAACTATATCCGCGTCCTGGGTATGACGATAAACTACATCCGCGTACCGGGTATGTCGATAAACTACATACGCGTCCTGAGTAGGACGATAAACGACATCCAACAGTAAGGGCTCTAATCAAGAGGTTTTGAGGAGCATGGAACCACCTCTTAATTGCTGGTGTCCCCAGCTCCAACCTAACCCGGGGTGGTTGTACTTGTTAGGTTCCCAAATATGGGCAAATAGTTAACCCCAGACTGGGGTCAAAACACTATGAAAGTGTAAAAATAGGTTTTAATAACAGCAATACATTTTTGTAAAAAATTATTATCGGCAATGAATTTCTGAAAAAAAAATTTTTTACCAACAATGCTTTATTACCAGCAATACTTTTGTGAAAAAAATATTACCAGCAATATCTTTTTGAAAAAAAAAATATTACCAGCTATACATTTTTTGAAGAAAAAATATTATCAGCAATACACGTTTTGAAGAAAAATATATATTGCCAGTAATACATTTTTTGAAGAAAAACATGTTACCAGTAATCTTGTCGGCATTAAATAACACGTTGAGGTTGATATGCTGTAAAACAAACCAAACCAATCCAAACCAGAAATACATTTTGTAAAAAATTATTACCAGCAATACAGTTTTGAAAAAAAATACCAGCAATAAAAATTTTGTGGGCATGAAATAACCCATTGAGGTTGATATGCCGTAAAACAAAGCAAACCAAATCAAACCCAACCAACAAGCGAAAAACAGGTCAGAGAACGGCTGAAATAATTCAGCCAGCCATTCAAACAACTCATACTGAACGGAGACTACCATGGACGAAATGGGCCTAAGGGGGATAACCCTCCTTGTGAATCTTAGTCAAACGACACACGTTGAGATTCTGCTGGCCTAATGTGGTCGGACACCATTTTGGAAAGAAGTTTACTGTCATATGCCACAAATCAAAAGATGTGGTACAAAAGAAACAGGAATATACAACCCGAGTCAGCCGAATTTATTACGCAGAAAGAAAATAATACTGCAATATTAAATAAAGAAAATGGGAACAGTATTCTAGCTCATGCTGACCAAATAAGATCCCAAGGAGAAGAATCGGATGAGGAAATGCCTTCAGAGATGCCCATTATTGACGTAACAGAAGAGTTAATGCAGAATGAAACTGCGGAGGAAGAAGTAGAGAGGGATGAGTTAGAGGAGGAAGAAGTAGAATGGGACAAGTTAGAAGAGAAAGACCAGAGTATGCAAGAGGAACAGTTCGATTATAGGGAAAGACGTGATAGATCTAGATTTCCAAGGGAAAGGAGAGAGATAAAGGAAGATGTTCAGGAGGGCACAAGAAGAAGTACAAGAAGTACTCGCGGCATAAGGCCCCTCCGTTATAGGGAGATGTAGTGAGATGCAAATTAGTATAATTTGCATATGAGCAGGTAGCTCATATGATAAATGGACAACAACTAGAACGGAAGTCGAATGCTTACTTAGCAACATACACGACATAACATTTACTTTTATAAACAGAGAGTAAACGTCTCGTCTTTATTTTGATGGTGTTGTCACATGAATTTACAGGACCAATTTTACGAATTTTAGAGGAATCATGCAAAATGATCGCCATTTTGTTATTAGAGTCCTGTCTGTTAAAGTTAATCATACCAGAGCCCGTGTCTCGCTTAGTGATATAGATATAACCTCTAGTCTTTAAAGACTTTATTGAATAGTAGCGAGCGTTTCGCCTTACAAGAAAATCTTATCAGCAGAAAGTGACGAATATTCCCAAGATAGTTCAAATAATCTTGTTTTATACAGGAGAAATTCTTCAGTAGAGGTCGGTTTATGCAAATTTAACTGAGAAAAGAGAAACTGAAACTCAGCGAAAATTTTTTTTTACTCGCTCGCTTTAGTGGAGGGGGCTGATACAAAATTCCAACCCTCTTGAGAGAGCAAGACGTTCAATCCCTGTAAAAGAGACATTTGATAAATTAAATATACGCCTATTTAAGTATCCATTTTCCGTACAAAATCTTCTAGAGATGAGAGAATTTAGATATTTCCAATTCTTTAT